GTAATGTTTTGAACAACCAATAAAAAAAAAAAAGAAAAAAAAAAGAAGAAGAAAAAAAAAGATGAAGAAAAATGGCACCACATGTAAATAAAATTTGCAATGCTTTACACGTCTATGGAGGATCACCGAAATAGTCACATACAGATTTGACTTCAATTTTCTCCCTAGGATGGCAGGTTCTATTTTCCTAATGGGTAGGTGGATGTATATCCACGCACAAGTGTGTAAACGCAAACACACGCATCTCACTTCTATTTGGTGCTCAGGTGGATCAAAAAGAACCCGTGCCTTAATCACTTCTCACAGGACTAGAATGAGAGTTTTAAAAGTCTGCACATGGTGCTCATAATGGACATGCATGTATATCATCGATCTGGGTATTTATCCACGTAGACGGACACACGTATAGACGGATGGACAGAAAGATCAATAAAAGGATAGATACAACATAGAGATGGATGGATAGATATGATGGAATGGATGGGCGGATGGATGGAAGAGTGGGTGGATGGATGGGTGGGTGGATGGATGGGTGGTGGATGGATGGGTGGCTGGCTGGATGGGTGGGTGGATGGGTGGATGGATGGGTGTGTGGATGGATGGACGGATGGGTGGATGGGTGGATTGGTGGGTGGGTGGAATAATGGGTGGATGGATGGATGGATGGGTGGATTGGTAGATGGGTGGGTGGATGGGTGGAATAATGGGTGGGTTGGTAGATGGATGGATGGGTGGGTGGGTGGGTGGATGGATGGATGGGTGGGTGGATGGATGGATGGACGGATGGGTGGATTGGTGGGTGGGTGGGTGGGTGGAATAATGAGTGGATGGATGGATGGGTGGATGGGTGGATGGATAGATGGATGGATTGGTAGATGGGTGGATGGATGAATGGATGGATGGGTGTGTGGATGGGTGGGTGACAGATGGACGGGTGGGTGGATGGGTGGATGGGTAGATGGATGGATGGGTGGATGGGTGGATGGATGGATGGGTGGATGGACGGATGGGTGGGTGGGTGGAATAATGGGTGGATGGATGGTTGGGTGGATTGGTAGATGGTGGATGGATGGATGCAGTGTGTGGATGGGTGGGTGGGTGACAGATGGACAGATGGATGGGTGGAGGATGGATGGATGGATGGATGGATGGATGGATGGATGGGTTGGTGGAGGGGTGGATGGGTGGATGGATAGATGGATGGATGGGTGGATGGATGGGTGGGTGTGTGGATAGATGGATGGATTGGTGTACTGATGGATGGTTGGTTGGTTAGTTGTATGGATGCATGGATAGATGAGTGGATGGATGGACAGGTAGACAGATGAGTGTTGAAAGATCAATGAATAATAGATGGATGAGTGGATGGGTGGGTGGATGGGTGGATGGATGAGTGGATGGGTGGGTAGATAGATGAATGGATGGGTGCACTGATGGATGGGTGGGTGGTTGGTTGTGTGGGTGCATGGATGGATGGATGGACAGATCAATGAATGAATAGATGGATGAGTGGATGCAGGGGTGGATGGGTGAAGGACAGATAGATAGAGATAAGGAGAAAGACAGATGGACAGATGAAATACATAGAAACAAATGGATGGTAGGTAGATTTACATGGTGGATAGAAAGCTATAGTAAGGGGCTGGGGATATGGCTCAAGCAGTAGCGTGCTCGCCTGGCACGCGTGCGGCCCGGATTCGATCCTCAGCACCACATACAAAGATGTTGTGTCCGCTGAAAACTAAAAAATAAATATTAGAAAATTCTCTTTCTCACTCTTTAAAAAAGAAAAGAAAAAGAAAGCTATAGTAATTTGACACATTGTTCCCAGATGTGGGTTGGGTTGGGTAGACTTGGTGCTGGGCAGTTGTGCCCTGGGTGTTCTTTCTCCTCTATGTCTCTGTCTACACACACACACAGATGGATAGAAGGATAGAAAGACCAATGGATCCATAGATTAATTGATGGCCACTTAGACACATAGGAATTGCTGGATAGATTCACAGATAGCAGGATAGATACGTGGCTGTGTGGATACGTGGATGGATGCGTATGACAGGTGGGTGGTGTGATGGATGGTTGGATGATAACAGATAGATAATAGATACGATAGATGGATGAATGGATGTTTGGGTAGATACTTGAGAAATGGACTATGGACAGATGAAATACATAGAAATCGATAGGTGATAAATATATGGGTGGACACGCTCCCAGGACATGGGCCCTGGGGGCAAATGAGTGACCGGGGTCCTGATGGTGTACGGGAGGCAGACACACAGTAGGGCTTCTTCCAGTTCACCTTCTCGTCCTGCCTTCTCCACGCTTCCCCCAGTTCTTGGAGGTGGGTAGCCCAGCTCCTCCTCCCACAGATGCTCAAAGGATGAGACCCACTCACCCAAGATCCCAAACCTACCAATGGCTGGGCCACCAGGCAGATGTACCCAACCTTACTCCCACGCCATGTCACCCACCACCAACTACAGAGAGGATTCCCTGAGTCTCCTTATCAGCGCACAAGGGCTGAACGTGCTGAAGGGACAAACTCACACATCATAACAGGTGGAGTTTTACAAGAATTCTCGTCACCAACAGCGTTCCATGCCAGTCCACACTATGACACCTGGAATTCACCAACCCAACCGGGTGAGGAGGAGAAGCAGCATTCACACTTTCTCCAAGGGTGAGTTCCCCTATGGTATGCTACAGTTTGGATGTGGAATGTCCCCCAAAGGCCACAAGGGTGGAAGGCTTAATTCCGGGTTTGGTGCTATTGGAAGGAGGTGGGACCTTTAAAAGGTGGGGCTTAGGAGGAGGAAGTGAGGTCATTGGGGGAGTGGCCTGGAACCTCAGCCTCTCCTCTCTGCTTTCTGGCCCCGGGAAGGGGACCAGCTTCCTCCACCTCACACAATCCCCAAAGCACCTGAGCTTGAAGTGAAAGCTCTCAAAGTATCATCCAAAACCTTTCGTCTTTTTAAGTCGATTATCTCAAGGTATTCATTCTAGTAACAGAAAGCTGACGGATACATGATAGATGAGGCGATATTCCAAATCGGTGGGTAAATACATTCAACCCAGGCCCAGTTCCCAATGCTGGAGGGGTGTCATTGAAGGGGATTATGACCTTGAACGGATTTACTGCTGCCTAAAGAGAAAAGGCATGATTTGATCGTTCATTTACAAAGAAAAAAAGTTGCTGATGGCTTTCATTCAACGCACCAGAGAGAATGAAATGCAGGATGCGAACGATCATAAGAGGAAGGAAGAGAAGAACGAGTGTCCCATTTCTCAGACACGGAAGAAATAGTGTGTTTGATTTGCAGCTATGCATTCCCCCCTAAACAGCCCCCCAACGTTCCTTCACAGGACAATTCGGCATGCAGCCCGCCATCTTGAATCTACCCCCAAACTTTCTTCAGATCAACTTCTGATGGAAAGCTTTTGAGGACACAACAGGCAAGATCCGAGCCAAAGACAGGAATGAGGACACCAACCAGCCCCCAGCAAATGGCAGAGAGAAGACAGGTGGATCAGAGGCAGACAGAGCCTGAGTTGGACAAGCGGAAGCTGAAATTTTGGATTAAGGATGGATGTGTGCATTGGGCTGGCTGCAGAGCTGGCTGAGAGCATCCATCAGGAGTGATGGGCAAGGCAAAGGGATGCAGGTGTCACCTCCAGGGTTTCCTGAGCACCGGGGTCTCTGCAGGGCTCCCCAGGGACCTCCTGACTCGGATCCAAAGACGACTCAGCTGGGCCACCTTTGACTTGATTCGCTGCCTGCTAGAAACACAACCATTCCATCATTAGTCTTCAAGAGGATGCAGGGAATTCTCACCTTAGCCCAAAGGACGGAAGAAACAAAATAAAAATTAAGACGCCCTACTAGATAGCCTTTGGGGGGAGGGGAGTACCAATGCTTAGAAGAATAAATAAATAAATAATGGGCGGCTCAGGAGGCTGAGGAAGGAGGATTGCAAGTTGGAGGCCAGGCTCGGCAACTTAGAGGGGGCTTAAGCAAATTAGCCAGACCCCTGTCTCAAAATATTTTAGAAGGGCTGGGATGTGGCTCAGTGGTTCAGCACCCGTGAGTTCAATAACCTAGTGGCAAAAAATTTAAAAAAGAATGAAAATATTTCAATTAAAGTTAAAAATTAAAAATTTTCAATTAGAGTTGGCTCCTCTTTTTCACAGGGGCTATTTCCCAGGACCCCCAGTGGATGCCAGAAGTCTTGCACAGTACGGAACCCTGTGTATGGTTTTTTTCCCCAACCTATGCGTAGTTCTGATAAAGCTGAATTTGCAAATTTGGGCACCGACGGGTGTCCTCCACACTCCCGATGCAATGGAACAAACTCGGCATTTAGACCCTAATAAACGTGATGCGCAGGCAGGTCCCTAAGAGCCAAGGCAAGGTTAGTATCCTTGGTGACTGGAACCCTATCAGGCAATGCCGTGGTTACAGGAGAGTGTCCCAGTCATGATTTCAGGCACGGCTGCAACTCCCTCCAAAAGTTTTGAAAATTAAGTGAGATGCCCCTGCCATATTGGTTTTTTTTGTTTTGGTTTTATTGGTTTTCTTTTCTTTTTTAAATTTAAAGACAAGGTTTCATTAAGCTGCTTAGGTTCTTGCTAAGTAGCTGAGGCTGGCCTCCGTCTGGCAATCCTCCTGCCTCAGCCTCCAGAGCCGCAGGCGTGCACTACCACGTGGCTCTTTTCTGTTCCTTGCTAAAGCCCTTAGGCGATTCAGGGTGAAATGGGAAAACCCACGGTCTGCTCGGCTGATGCAGATCTTCTGAGAGAAAGGACAAGCGACAGACAGGAGCCCGTGGGAGAGAAGGGGCCAGTGTACCCGGGTGGGTTGGGTCTCAGCGACGTCTGGAAATGGCAGGGCCAGCGGTGGCCGAGGCGCACACGGGATCCCAGCCGGAGTCAGGGTGTCAGGGCAGCCTCCCGTCTGTTATGAAGGAAGAGCCGACAGGTGAGACCCGGACCTCGGCATGGACACAGCTTTACCAACAGGTGGGCAGGGTCCCTGCCTCCAGGGTGCCGGGGGCACCTGACCTCAGGCGCTGAGAGTGACGGGCTCACCGGTGTCCAACGTGGATCCTTCTCTGTTCTCTCCCGTGGGATCCCACCTGATGCCGGGGTGCAGCCTCCTGGTGCCTGGACAGGGTGGTGCATCTCCATCTGACCACTGAGACTGGGCAGCTGGGGCAGGATGCCCCTCCGTGCTGGGCAGCAGGAAGACACGTGCTTCCCGCACCCTTCCTAGTGAAGGGCAAGATGTCCCCCCCAACCTGTGCCCACTCGGTCGGTTGCCACGGGAAAGGAAGAGCTATGGAGACCGAGTCCGGCGGGTGCCAGGCAATGTTCTCTGCCGTAGCTGCTCTGAGCACAAAGTCCTGATGCTCTCACAGAGTCACAGCTGCAAGGACAGAGCAGAACCCCGGGTCCCTGAACAGCTTCACGGAGCCCAGGAAACCTGTGCCACCCAAAACTTGGATGCGACTCAAATCAGAAGCCAGCTTTCAACTTGGAGGGACAATGATGCCCGCCTGTCATCCCAATTACTCAGGAGGCTGAGGCAGGAGGATTGCGAATTGGAGGCCAGCCTCAGGAACTTAGTGAAGCCCTAAGCAACTCAGCCAGACCCTGTCTCAAAATAAAAAAATGAAAATGAAGATGGGGCCAGGTGTGGGGGCACACACCTGTCGTCCCAGAGGCTCTGGAGGCTGAGGCAGGAGGATGGCAAGTTGGAGGCCAGCCTCAGCAACTTAGCGAGGAACTAAGCAAATTAGTGAGACTCTGTCTCAAAATAAAGATAAAAGAAAGGGCTGGGGATGTGGCTCTGTGGGTTCAAGGTTGAGTACCAAGGTCCTGCACATTCCTGACCCTCCTCGCAGCCCTCTGAGGACACTGGTTACCCCCTTGCTCTTGGTGGTGAGGGGTCTAATTTGCAGTTGGAGACACTTGTCCACACACAGGAGCTCGTTAAGGACAGAGCAGGACCTGAGCCTGTGTCCCCCCGGGCCCTGCTCCTGAACCCTGCGCTGGGCACAGCGTCCACGCACCCTGGGGCCTCACGGGTCAGAAGCACGTAAATCCCACAGGAATGAAGAGCTGCTTTGACCCGTCAGGACTGCGAAGGAAATGTCCTAAATTCTAACCCTGCCCACGTAAGGAAAAGGACCTGCGTGGACGCCTTGCTCTCTGCCACTCGCTTGCTTTGGTCATGCAAGGGACCCGCGGTGGCCTTGGAGGATAAAGGAAGCAATAATTTGACTTTTTTTTTTTTTGGTACCTGGGATTGAACCCAGAGGTGCTTAACCACTGAGCCACATCCACAGCCCTTTTTTATTATTAATTTTTATTTATATTTTATTTTTGTTTTATATTTGATTTTGAGGCTGACTTCAGATTTGGGATCCTCCTGCCTCAGCCTCCTGGCTGAGTTGCTGAGGCCAGCCTCAGCCTTGGGATCCTCCCGCCTCAGCCTCCTGAGACACTGGGATTAGAGGTGTGTGCCACCGCGCCTGACCCCACAGGTTTATTGAAAACAATACTAAATAAAACATAAACCTAAAAAAAATTGTCAAATCAATATCCCCCTTATTTTTACCAATAACTAGGAAACACGTCCCTCTTTACACAAGATGAAGAGAGAGACCCAAGATGAGCGTTTAGCAATAGTATGGGGCCAACACAGCCTCTCGGCCAGGTTTCAGGAAGCCGGTGAACAAATGGGTTTGTCATTACGGGACTGATTCATCCACTGCCTGACATTCAGTTCACCTTGAAAGAAGAGACCGTGACCTGGGGCACAGTCCAGAGACCCGTGGGTAGCTGTAAGGAAGGACAGGCGGACGGAGCAGAGAAGCCCAGAAACGAAATCGAAGGAAACCAAAATTTTGCTCTCCGTCCAGAAACGTGTGACAGTTGGAAGAGGGATACCAAAAGAATCCTCTACTGGGCAAGGATAGTCTGATTCAGAATTTCAAATTATTTTTGCAAGAATTTTTTTTCTCCCATAAACAATGTCTGGCCTTCGATTTCCAAAAAATTAACCATCCTGTGAGAAGACAAGATCAAATGAGTGAAAACCAAGAGAAAAACCAAACCAAACAACAAGCATCAGACCTGCAGGAACGCAGAAAAATGATGGTTCAGACACAAGACCATTAGCAATGCGAGAAATAGACTCTGAAATCGGGAAACAGCCACAGAATGTCCATGAGGTAATGACACTCCAGCCAGTTTTTGATGTGACTTATCCACATCTGCTCGCTTTATGGCTGCATAGTATTCCACTCTAGGAATTCGCCTCGATTGGTTCACACATTCACCTCTTGATGGACACTTGTTCCATTGCAAAGCTACTATATATAAAAGTGCTATCATCTTTATGGACATTTGAAGCCAGCCTCAAAGTCAAATACAAAAATAAAAATAAAATATAAATAAAAATAAAATATAAGCTTTCATTTCTCTTGAGCAAACTTCGGAATGGAACGGCTGCATTATGCAGTAGGTGCATGTTTAATGTTCAAAGAAACTACAAATTTCCCACCTGCATATATTGTAATTTTGTTTGCAGGAAAACCAAAGAGAATCTTGTGTCGTCGCATGAAAAAAATTTCAGCACACCGTTTGGATTCAAAAGTCACATGCATTTCTACATGCCGATATCTGCAAAAAAAAATATTAACAGTGTTGAGAGAAATTAAAGATATAAGTATAGAAATGGACCAAGTTCATAGAGTTGGAAGGCTCAGTACCTTGGAGACGTTAATAATCCTAAAACTGGTTTATAGATCGAACGAAACCCCAGCCAAAATTCTGGAAGTTTCTCTTTTTAGGAGAAAAATCGCCATGCTAATTATTTTATATAAAAATGTCCCGGGGTTAGATAATGGCCATCATTAAACAATCAAAGGTAGCTATTTTGAATAGAGACTGCTAGAATTTACACTCAGCTTCTCTGCAGTTATGAGGACTTTTTAAAAAAAAATAGTATCTCAAACTCTCCAAAAAAATAAAAATTATAAATAAAAATAACTTTTTTTTTTTTTTTTTTTGAGGGGTGAGTCTGGTTTTGGCTCCTCAAAAAAAATCAAGACTCCAGAATCTGCAATTCAATAAATGGCCATAAGGGGGCAGCAGGGCTGCAAAATTCATTCAGAAAAAAAAAATTCATTCAGAAAAAAAATTCATTCAGGAAATACACGGGGTGCTGAAGGGAACCCCTCCCATTTAAAACTGCAACAACCGTCATTTTTTGGGGGGAAATAGGCTCCTCATAAAATACACAGGCGCCGTGGTACGAAGGTGTTCCCCAAAAGTTCATGCTTGACAGACAGACGTAACCCCCAGAACTATGGGTTAATGGTGTTGGAGGTGGCGTTTGGAGAGGTCATTGGGGCTACATGAACTGATGAGGGTAGGACCACCCCCCCAAAGTGGCTTCAGGAGAACAGGGGAGACAGACCCGAGCTCGGTTGCTTTCTCTGTCTCCCCACGGGACATCTCTGCCATGAGTTCGAGAAACCTCTTTTCTTTATCAGTTTCCCCGCTCCACAGCATTTTGTTATAGCAACGTCAAATGGGCCAAGGCCAGAGTCAATGTGCCCAACCACTATTCACAGAGGCCAGGGCGGCTGAGGGGGACAGGAAGTTGAAAGGTGAAAGATGGATTTACACCCAGCACTTTTGTCCCCATTCCTATTTGGACCATAGATTTCTCTCTGATTCTAGCATGTCCCTCAAGTGTTCACTCTCTAGAAGTTTGGTCCCCAGTGCGGTGACATTGAGAGGTGGCACATCGGATCATGGGACCCACTGAAGAGCCCCCCAAAATCCTGACCTGTCTGGACCTCTCTCCTTTATCCATCCCTCGGTCTCAGGTAGTTTATGAGAGCAATGATAAATAAACACACTGACTCATAATGGTTTTGACTTCCCAGCTTTGGACTCTAAAGGAGTGTGAAAGGGACCCGTTTTCGGTACGTACTCTGCTTGGAATTCTAAATTCTGTTCTTTTCCTAAGAAATATTGAATTTTCTTCACTATTTTTCATGTGGGGAGGGATAGTACTGGTGATGGAGCCCAGGAATTTTCCACCACTAAGCTGAACCCCCAGCCCTTTTTACTTGTTTTTTTAATTTTAAGACAGGATCTCACTAAGTAGCTGAGGCTGGCCTCCAACATTCGATCCTCCCGCCTCAGCCTCCCACATTGCCAGGATTGGTAGGTTGAACGTAAGCAATGAATTTTCTACTTGTATTATTTTTTAATTCATGATGAGTTCAGCAGGACCTGAGCCCATGGTCAGCAGGGGCTCCCTCCTGAGCCGGGTCTCTGGGGCTTTTCTGAAATCGGAGCAGGTGGAAGGCTGGGGGGGGGGGGGGGGGGCAGCTCCCAAGATGGAGTCAGCTGTTGATTCTGGGAATTGGCTGATTCTACATTTTCCCTCCTATAAGGACCTTTAGGATGAGGCGGGTCCCCTGGGATAATCCACAACCCTCTCTGCAACCCCAACATCCTTGACTCCATCCCATCTGCAAAACCCCCTTTGTTAGTACAAGGTTGTGCGGGTCAGGGCGTGGGCGCCTCTGGGCAGAGTGTGGGAGGCGGGTACTCACATCTTCCCATCCTTCAGGGGACGTCGGGGTCTCAGCCACCGTGGTGGACGTGTTCTCCAGAGCAGACCGCAGGTGGCCCGATCCTGGTGCAGAATTTGCACACGGCACCTCAGAAGGGGCAGCTGAGTTTGCACACGGCTCTGCAGCACTGGGGGCTGAATTTGCACGCATCACCTCGAGGCCATCTGAGCAAACCTGTGCGCGCGCACACACACACACACACACACACAGGACACATTTTTACTAGTCCGCTCTGCTCTGGTCTCCCCGGTCATCCTGCCCCGTGGGTGTGCAAGAGCTGCCCATCAAATGGAAGGATTTGTGCAACTGGATTCCCAAGAACCTGTAAATAACCCACCAGTGTTCTGTGTGGCAGCCACTCACCCACAAGGTGGCCCGAGAACCAATAAACTCCTTCCTATTTGCTCCTATCGAAAGCCTTCAAAGGTTCCCGAGAAGTAGCATCTGGAACCACTGATTTCTTTTTTTCAAGCAAAAATTAAAGTTGACCTCCAGCCAGACGCGGTGGCCCACGCCTGTGATCCCAGTGGCTCGGGAGGCTGAGGCAGGAGGATCGCGAGTTCAAAGCCAGCCTCAGCCAGAGCGAGGCCCTAAGCAACTCAGGGAGACCCTGTCTCTAAATAAAATACAAAATAGGGCTGGGGAGGGGGTGTAAATACCTGTCTGATTGTTTTGGGAGTAAGAAAGAGGGGGGGAAATGGACCTGTGTACTGGTTCCGTGCAGATGCAGCTATTTGAAGAATATTCTATTTTGCATCCGCGGTTGGAAGGGAACCGCGGATACGGAGCATCCGCGTGTTTAGACATAATGGGGAGAAGCCAGGGGAGCTGTGGGTCTTGGCGGGGACAGGCTGGTCCTCAGCCGAACTAGCAGAGGAGCGTCCACTCACGCGGAGCCCCGCAGGTCCCTGTCTCTCCTGCGCACAGGCGGTTGGGTACAGAGGCCGCGCGCCCTCCTGGAACAGCCTCCACCAGAGATTCAGGAAGGTCACGTGCTGCCGGGGGCCGGACCCCGCGCCCTGCTCCGAGACGGAGCCAGTCTGCGGGTCGTACGTGCAGTTCCAGGGCTTGGTGGACCCCAGAAAGTGCACCACCTTCGCGCTGGAGCCGAACCTGAGGAGGAGAAAGGACAGATTCCAATTTTCCACCAGGAAAGGACACCAGAGGGCGCCCGAGCACGACGGTGGAGGTCCTCACCAAGAGCCACCTGGAGGGGAACCGTCTGACCCGCTACCACTGTTGACAGGGACCTTAGTAGGGCAATGATTGACAGTTACTTTGGGTAAAGGGAATAACATTTTGGGGGGATTTTTTTTCTGTGTGTGTGTGGTGCCGGGGATGGAACCCAGGGCCTCTACATTCGAGGTTAAGTGCTCCACCCCTGAGCCCCGTCCCCAGCCCTATTTTGCATTTTATTTAGAGACAGGGTCTCCCTGAGTTGCTTAGGGCCTCGCTCTGGCTGAGGCTGGCTTTGAACTCGCCATCCTCCTGCCTCAGCCTCCCGAGCCGCTGGGTTCCCAGGTGTGTGCGCCAGCGCGCCCGGCCCCCTAAAGATCATTCAAAAAATCCACATGTGCAGTTTTTAGAAAAAGCATCCCTGCCCTGAAATGCTTTGCATCAACAGTGTTCTGGATCTCAGATGTTATCAGGTCTTGGAAAGAGCATAGGTGCATAATGAGATATCCTGAGCTGGGCTCGGTGGCACATGCCCGTCGACCCTGCAAGCTGGGGAGGCTGAGGCTGAGGGAGGATCTCAAGTTGGAGGCCAGCCTCAGCAGCTTCACGTGGTCCTCAACAATTTGGCGAGACCCTGTCTTAACATAAAATATCAAAATGAGGCTGGGGATGTGGCTCAGTGGTTAAGCACCCCTGGGTTGCATCCCTGATACCCCCAAAATAATAAATAAATAAATAATGAAAACGTCATAAGATGTCTTGGGTATGTGTCACGTCTCATCATGAAATTAATTTGCTTCACCTGTACCTTACACGCACAGCCTGAAGGTCATTTTCCACGGTATTTGGAGCACACCTGCGCTCTGCCCGGGACCCACACACAATATGACATGTGGGTACAGATCTTGGGTTCTGCAGTGTGTCAGATTTGGGGTTTTCTGACAAAGGACGCTCGGCTGGTAATTCATTCTCTATGAACCGAGAGACCTGTGTCGTCTCCCTTGAGGTCTTCCTCCCAACTGGAAGGAGACTGCAAGGTGATTTGCGGCTGCTGGTTTTCCACGGTCGGGGATGGTACCCAGGCTGGTCCAGCACCCCACCTCTGAGCTGCACCCCGCGTCCACACATCAGTCCTATATACAGGAACGCTGGGGCAGCTTCAATGACCTCATCCTTCAAAGGATGGGGACGAGAAAATAAAATAAAGAGCTTTCGTGGCAGATAACACAAGCTGCAAACCAAACGCCTCTCAAAATAAAAGAAAAAGGATCAAAGATTCTGAAATCTCCCCTTCTGAACCTTTTTCCGGTGCCATTCATTATCACTCCCCAAGTGCTTTTTGGACACTTTTTTTAAAAAAAATTAACTCCCCATGAAATTTTAACACCAAAGTCGCATGGTCTGAGATTCACACATTATTTTTTAAAAAAAATATATTAACAACAAAAAAAGACTATTTGCCGTCCCCAGAACCAATTTCTGCCTCCCTGGGAGCAGCAGGACCCCTGCTGGGTAATGCATACTCTGGAGTTATTCATCTCCTGGATCATTATCACATTTTGATTTCATTTTAACGTCTCCTCTAGCAGCAGAGCTCCAAATTTTGGGGTCCCAGGACCCCAGGGAAGAAAAAAAAAATCACTGAAGACCCAAAGAGGTACAACCCCATGGAATTCATCTTCTCTACTTTACCATCATAGAATCTAAGACTGAAAAATTAAGGAATACCGTCATCCATTCCTTAAAAGCAACCCACTCTACATAAATTTCATAATTATTTTTTTTTTAACAAAAAGGAAATCCCTGTATTCAAAACAAATACATTTCTGGGTGCCGTGGTGCACAGACCTGGAATATGAGTGACTCAGGAGGCTGAGGCAGGAGGTTCACAAGTCAGAGGCCAGCCTCATCAACTTACTGAGGTCCTGTCTCAAAATAAAACTTTTTAAAAAAGCCTGGGGGTATAGCTCAGGAGTACGGCACTTGCCTGGCATACGGGGACAGGGTGATCTATTTCCCTTTCCTCTACGAAGAGCTGATATCTAATCTGGGAGATAAAAACAACCAAGTGGCTACGGCCAGTTGGGGTTCAAGATGGCGGAGGGCTTACTGTTGGAAGGCTGGACTGTAGGTGTAGGCTGCGTTGCTGGTCAGGTTGTAGATGAAAGGCAAATGCTTATGGATGTCCGCCGTCGGCCAGTCACTGAAGAAACTGTTCAGCAAGCCTTGATCTGCGCCTGGGCCACCCGCCAACACAAACAGAGGTCAGTAGAGTTGGGTGCAGTTCTCAGGTTGGCCCGAGGTATGAGAAGGACCTAAGGTCTACACTGGCCTTGAGAGGTCCTCTCTGCCAGCTACAGTGTTCCTGCTCTTCTTGACAGTGATCGGCTACCCATACCATTACTAAAAATCAGGGTGTGTTCCCTACAAGATCTGCATCCATTGCCCCCCAAAATTAATAATAAAACTATATACAACCTCCAGCGTCCTCCACTCACCCCCAGTGAATTCCATCTGGTAGTTAAAATGGCTTCCCCATTGTTATGTTAGGACCGTGCAGACTCTTGGAAATGGGCTACATGAATTTTGCATGAGATTTTGGGGGACCTGGGGGGACAATGACATGGTATACATATGAGGTATGTCCCAAAAGCTCATCTGTGAGACAAGACAAGAAGGTTCAGAGGTGAAATGATTAGAAGAGGTGTAACCTAATAGTGGATTAATCCACTTGGATGGACTCACTGGGTGTAGACTCATAGTGGATTAATCCACTTGGATGGACTCACTGGGTGTAGACTCATAGTGGATTAATCCACTTGGATGGACTCACTGGGTGGTGGCTGCAGCAGGTGGGGGGTGGCTGGAGGAGGGGGTCCCTGGGCTGTGCCTTTGGGGTCTCTGTCCTGTCCCTGGTGAGCAGAGCTCTCTCTGCTCCCTGGTGCCCTGTCCTGAGCTGCTCTCCTCCTCCAGGCCCTGCCGCCATCTTGTTCTGCTCCCCTTGGGCCAGAGCCATGGAGTCGGCCACCAGGGACTGGACCTCGGACACCAGGAGCCCAAATCAACTTTTCCTCCTCTAATTGTTCTTATGAGGTGTTTTGATCACAGTGATGAAAAAAAATCTGATGATAACCATTTTCCCCCCCTAATTCCCTCTCAGGGATCACCCTGAGCCCCTTTTTCCAAACTGGTCTTATTGAAAGTCAGCCACGTTCACTGTTTTTCTTCCAATGTCCACCTCCAAGTTACACGTGCCGAAGACAGTGTTTGCAACCAAGACCGTGCACCCTGCAAAGCGGACAACATCGGTTATTTGGTCCTTCGGAGGAAGGTTGGAACGCCTGTTGTATACGATCGGCATTGCCAAGGTGCTCTCTCTACCTGGGAGGGAGTTTTCCAAAGGTTCTCCTGGCTGCTGCACATTGACATAATAGCTTCTTGATGTCTCCCTGTCACCCTGCCTGGCTCACTTCTCAATGTGCACCTTTGTCTCCAGGCTGCAGCTCGTGGATGCGAGAGACACGTTGAGGTGGGTATAAAACCGGACTCCGGCAACGGGTCCTCTCTGCCCTGCCGACTTCCAGGCTGCCCTCACTCACCGTCAAAGCTGCCGTGCTCCGTGGCATGCTGCAGCAGGAGCTGGTGGGTCTCCAGGGAAGGCTGGAAGACAAACACCCCGCTATTGAAGCAGTCGGGCCATCCCGGATCCGGGGCCGCGGAGAGTTCTTCCCTGTCAAACAGCTCGTCGATGTTGTGCAGAACCTGGCGAGGCAAAGCCACACATCTGTCGCCTCCATTGGGCAACCGAAAAATTCCACAGGGACCTAGAGTGAGCCCAATGCACCTCTGGTGCCCGGAAACCTTAGACCAATTTTTTTTTGGTGAGATTCTTAAAACTTTTAAGGTGAAATGAGAAACGTTGGTGAGAAAGACTCCTCTCCAGTTTACCTGCAGTTGTTGAGTCTGCACTGGGTCTGGAACGATTTTCTCACGGATCTTAAGATTCTAGAGTGAGGAGGATCATCCTTACTTACATCAGCAAGTGTGCAAAATGGAACTGGGATCCCAGGAAGGGACATGGAGACCATCCATATCAAGCAGATACTGGGTGAATTCCGTCGCGGAGTGGAAATGGTCTCCCCAGCCTCAATGCCAGCCTCTGGGATACGCCATCTTGAGCCAGCACCCATTCTTGGGGGTTCTAGAACTTTCTTTTATTTTTGCAAAACTCTTAGCTTGCCTCCTGTGTCCTGGAGCCCATTCAAAAACCGCTTAGGATTTGTTTCCGTTCCACGAAACTCAGAGCGAGACCAAAATGCACTTAGTACCTTTAGGCTACCCAACAGCCCAGTTCAGCAACACACTGTGCCCTCGAGAACTTGACCCCTAATTGCAACTCCCTCTAACACGTACTGGTTTCTAAATCATGCCATTTGGCAGGGGGCGACCCTGTTTTGGAAGACAGGGTGCTTCACTACCTCTTCCTAAAGAGGTGCTTTTGCTTAACCAAAACTGACTCGCGGTAGACCAACTCCGTCTTGCGTTCCAAATCCCCAGTGGCCATTTTGAAAATGCCCATCCCATGATAGTTCTAAGGTACCACCCCCCAAATGACATCGGGGGATGCCACCATTTGCAATTTCGGGGATAGCGCGCTGTCCAATCCGGAATCTACAATTCAATATACAGCCGAGACAAAAATATTTTTCCACTTATGCTCTTTTGAGCAGATGAGATACTGTGGCTGGAACGGTTTGGATCTGGAATGTTCTCCACAGGCTCCTGTGTTAAAGGCTTGGTCTCCGAAGCAGCAATGTCCAGAGCTGGGGATTTGGGAAGTGATTGGATCGTGAGGGTTCTGAGCTCATCAATGGATTAATCCATTGATGGCTACCTAGATGAAAGGGTTATTGGGAGGTGGTCTAGGCTGTAGGAGGTGGGACCTCGTTGAGGGGAGTAGACCATGGAATGGTACATCATATCTCTGGCCCTTTTCTATTTCTTTCTCAGCTCCCCTGAGCCAATCAGCTTTCCTCTACCACTCCCTTCCGCCATGATGTTCTGCCTCAACTCAGGCCCAGAGCAATGGCGCCAGCTAACCATGGACCGAGACCTCTGAAACCATCAGCCAACATAGACCCTTCGTCCTCTAGGTTGATTCTCTCCGGTATTTTTGTCATGGCAATGGAAAGCCAACACCATGGTTCTCGAACACTCTTCGAGAAAGGATCAGTCTTCAAATCCTTCCTGTCCTCACCAGGGTCTAGCCTACTGCCCCTATGTTATTGGGTGGTTTGGACGAATTGAATCTCCATGGTGCAGACAGAAGCGCTCACCACCTCTTGAGAACTGACCCGCAAGAGCTGCCACGCCGTTTAGGAACAGGGTCATATTATGACGTTAGAGGCATCAAAGCCTCCTCATCAAGCCGAGGAGTTGGACCTCTCCACTCCCTGCACTCACCAGGGTGTCGGCATCCAAGAAGACGCACTTGCTGTAGTGAGTGAGGGTCCAGCAGTGGAGCTTCGTGAGGGTGACCCCCAGCTCAGGTCTCTTCAGAAATGCCAGGTGGATGTAGTCTTCGCTGTCCATCAGATTGACTTCAGTGACCTCATCGAACACCCGTGAGAGGACATCCCTGATAAAGACATGGGTCAGCAGAGGACCATTAGCCCAGGACAACGGTGTCCTGCCAGAAGATACCCTGGAGCTGCTCCCAAACACGGAACAAAGCTCCAATTCCCACCACGCCCACTGAAGACTCAGCATTTGGGGTTGTCTTCCATGGCTGTCTCTCAACTGGGCACACTTTGCACTCCTTCTGGAAATGACCCCAGATGGGAAAAGCATACAGATTGAAGGGAACTGTTCTAGATAGACTGACTCAGGTCATCTCTTCGAAAGGTAGCTCCCTTCATAAAATGTGTGGGCAGGGAGGTGTGAACGCCAAAGTGATGGGAACCCACAGATGTCCACCGCAATCTCCCGTCAATTTTTGCTTTACGTGTTCAAAACCCACATTGTTAGTTGCATACAAGTTTGAAGCTCAGATCTTGAAATATTATATTTTTTATCAAAATAAACTTATCCCTGGTCCATTATGATTATTCTTTTTTTTTAGATTTGGCTGACACTCTACTTCACAGTGACCTGGAACATGTTATGATGATAATTTTTTTTTTTTAAATTTGAGCAAGCACTAGAAAATGGATAAAAGTATGAGAACAGGACACCAAGACCCGACGAGGAAAAGATTCCAATTTCCAGAGCAGAAACAATTTGGTCAGCAAAATAACATACACAAAGCATTAAAATAAATGTTTCTGGGTCTCTATTCAAAAGTTTTTGCAATGGACAACCAGGGAAGAGGGAGGAGGATGATCTTGGGAAAGAATTCCACATAATAAATACAGAATGAATGAGGATCAGAGAAAATCTACGGTAAGCAAACAGCACCATAATAATTCTTGCAAGCCAGACTCACTGACGGATGCTTAGATACGTGCGTGAATGTTTGAGGAGAAACACTTGGTTGCATAAACCTCGTATGTCTGTCCCAGGATATTTATTCTCCATAAAGGGAAAAATCATAACTTGATAACGGAGAATGCCAACTGTGCCTACTTCATTTATTCTTTGTCAATGTTTCTGAAGGGGACAGACAGACCTGGGTGCTGGGACACGAGGTCCAGGGGACAGTTCTATCAGTGACCCCCGGTGCTGACCCCACAGCTTCCTTCCCAGAAGCCCTGGACCTGCAGCCCTGCCTGGCCTCTGGGCACAGGCTCCGCCACCTTCCTCACAGACCAGCTGTGACCTGCAGGGGACATGCAGGCAGGAAATCATGTCCCTGAGAGGAGCCAGGTGACCCTGAAGGGGGGACTTCTGTGACCTTGATGCAGACCTGGTCCCGGGACTCAGGGAGACGAGGATCCTTCCTCCAACCATAAATCGCACTGTGGCCTGTGACCTCAAACCCTGCTGTGCGGCTCTGCCCATCTCCTAGAAGTGGAATATGTTTCGTGCATACAGTCAGGAAGCACTCAGGTTGTGCCTTTGCAGACAGGCTTGCACCACAATGCCTGGGAGAGGGGTGGTCTCCTGGCCTCACACCCCTGGTGGTTTGTGGTCAGGAGCCACTCTCTGTCTTCTGCCCCCTTAACCAGTGCATGAAAATTCAACCCGGTCTGCGACGTCCTACCTTACCCACGGTTTCTGTGCTGTCCTCTCTAAATATTTAAAAGACCATTTGGAGTCAACATTAAGACGTATACACATGGCTAGGCACGGTGGTGCAAGCCTGTCGTCCCAGTGGCTCAGGAGGCTGAGGCAGGAGGATCACAAGTTGGAGGCCAGCCTCAGCAACTTACAGAGGCCCTGTCTCAAATAAAAAATAAACAGGGCTGGGGATGTGGCTCAGGGGTTAAGCACCCCTGGGCTCAATATTCAGTACCCCCCCACCAAAAAAAGAGAGAGAGACACAGAAATATGAACAACACTGACCCCTGCTAAGGACATAGAAATCATGAGAATCACACAAGGGTTGTGGGATTGCATCAAAAATCCATAGATGGGCATCATTCAAGGGATGGAGGGACAGGGAGCAGATCACACAGGGTCCCCTCCCCAGAGACCCGGGTGCACTGACTTCTCATGCATGGTCATTTTGCCCAGATCTGACATCTCCTGTATGAATGCGAAAGTTAAATGGACCCAGGGCCAATGTCCACTGTGACCAAATGTATTTTCTTCCCTTGATCTCTTTCTGTTTGGACGCTGACAGACTTATTGGATCAAGAGGAAATACAACCTCGGCACCCATTCATTGGGAGGACCTTCAAGAGAATGGGTCACAGCCAAGAGGGTCCAAATCTGATCATGTTGCTGGGCATCCAGCTCAGAGATCCACCCAAGGAGGCCACCATTTTAAAAGACATTGGCCAACCTCGGGAGGCAAAGACCTCAAAGACTAAAGCAAAGACTGATACAGTGTGACTATTTGAGAGGGATGGAGACGTGCTCATCTCACACACGCACGCCCGCTACTCTGTCTTTGCTTAGTGATTTATAAGAGTTCTTTACATATGAAGGATGGTAGCCAAACTCTGCATTCTCCCACTTTGCATATCGATCTCTTTCTCCATCCAGCTACGGTCTACCATCTAAATATCTTAAGGACGTGTACCTACCTACCTATCATCTGTCTCTCATCCATCAATTCTACGTGGTTGTCACAACCTGGGTGGGGTTGTTCCTGGTTTCAATGACCTGCCATCAACCATGATCCCAAGCTATTCGGCGGAAAATTCCAGAAAGAAACAATTGGCTGAGGCCCAGAGCAATGGAGCCACCAACCACGGACTAAGACCTGCTGAAACCAGGAGCCAACATAATAAACCTTTCGTCCAACATAATAAACCTGGATTTTCTCAGGTATTTTGCTACAGCAACGTAAACTGACTAACACTGTGGTTCCCGACCACTCCTTAGGAAAGGACCAGACTTCCAATCCTGCCTCCGCCTCAGGAGGACCCCCCTGAGTTCTAGGTGGTTCCGATGGACTGAAAAATCCACATTGGAGACAGAAATGCTCATCGGCTCCTGGGAACCAACCTGCAAGGGGGGATTGAGAGTATGTCCTGGGTCCCCTTGGACATGGTGACCTTTACTGCATCGGGGTGCATGCGGAGTCCCCAGCTCTTACCTGAGCAGGCTGGACACCTGAGGGGTGATCAACACCACCAGCTTCCTCGTCGTCTTGTGATTCCTCAAGGACAGGCCCAACACCAGGGCCCCCTGGCAGTAAATATCGTTGGTGGCCAGCGTGACGAAGGCTTGTGTGGTCACTGGGGGTAGGACAAGGACATGAGGGTTACTCTCCTGAGAGATTCCCTAAGACACTGGTTCAGAAGTAGGGCTTTAAGGTGATGAGGGATCATGAAGCTCTGACCTCATGGGTGGATTAATCCACTTGACGGATTTTGTCGTGTGGGCATCACACAATCTACTTACACCGACGAAATGGCTACGGTGTCCACACCACAAAAATCCCCTAATAATACACTTCTGAGAACACCTGGATAAAATTCACACAACTATATTCTGAAGTCTATCAAGCGTCCTGTGGATCAAAAGGATTAATCCATTTGGGGCTCGATGGATGATGGGAGGTGGGACCTAGTTAAAGGAAACTAGTTAGTAGGTGTGTGCCCTGGGCTGACCTTTTCCCCAGCCCCTTCCCTTCCCTTCCCTCCCCCTCTCTCTTCTTCCTGATTGACAGGACCTTCCCACCTCCATTCCCTTCCGCCATGTTTTTTTTCTCCCTTGGAGCCAGTTGACCATGGAGTTTACCTTTGAAGCCATGAGCCCAAGAGGAGCCATTTAGCTCCTCTCAGGTCACTTAGTCACATCAGGGAAAAGCTGATAGAGACACTTTGTCTGGTGGACACGAGGTCCAGGGGACAATTCTATCAATGGCCCCCGGTGCTGACCCCACAGCCTCCTTCCCAGAAGCCCTGGACCTGCAGCCCTGCCTGGCCTCCGGGCACAGTCTCCGCCACCTTCCTCACACACCTCCTGTGACCTGCAGGGGACATGCAGGCGGGAAGTCATGTCCCTGAGAGGGGCCAGGTGACCCTGAAGGGGGGACATCTGGGACCCTGACGCAGACCAGGTCCCGGGACCCAGGGGGACGAGGATCCTTCCTCCAACCCTAAAATCTGCAAGAACAGGTTCCACTGAGAACCAGGCAGCAGGGGCCAGGGTGACCCAGAGTGGCCATGGCCCTGGGGACTGGAGAGTCGGATGTCACCCTGCTGTCCGTCAAAGTCAGGAGGGGGACCTGGGCAGGGCTCTCTGGAGACTCCCTGGGACCCCAATAAAACTGGAGGGCAGGAGGGACACGCTGTCCCTGTCCTCTCTGAGAGGACCCCTCTGTCCCTAGAGAGTGTCACCTCACCACATTGGCCCGCTACCAGCATTGATCTGGATATTTCCAAAGCACTGGGTTGTCCACAATCGAGCGAAGCCATGTGACGAGATGCTCGGGGGATTCTCCCAAGGAAACAGGGAAGATGAAAGGGTCTGGGTTTCCCCTCCAGCACCCCTGAGACTTTACGGGGGAAAAAACCCTAAAAGGGCTTCCCACAAAGCCAGGTGGTCACCCCAAGCCACCAGCAAGGAAAGAGACCAGCAGCCCACGTGGCTCGCACAGGTCTGTGGCTGAAAGAGCCCGGAGGAGGTTAGGACAGCAGGTGGCTTGGGCGCTAGTGGGAAGGGACCAAAGGACCCAACCGATGGACAGCCAGAGACCAGGTGTCCCCTGCTGGATGGTCACAGATGGGATCCTCAGAATCCAACGCCCTCCCCCCCCATCCCCAGGAGAAAACTAAAAGTGGAATCGACTCTAAAGAAAAGGGAAGGTCCCCAAGAGAAAGTCACCCCCACGTGGAAGAGGGAGCCCCTAATCCCTCATGCACAACGTCACCCCTCAAATTCAGACCCACCGAGAAGCCCCGCCCACAGGCAGGACTGATGTGGACAGTTGCTCAGCTAACACACCCGGACGCAGAGCTGATGGGGACAGAAAGGTGCACGAGAACTTGAATCCCAAACAGGGCAGGAAGGGATGGGGGAAGGAAGGAGGGTTCCCAGAGGACCGGACGTCCCACGCGAGAGACATCCAAGGAACAAATTGGGCACACGCCTGTCATCTTAGCAGCTCAGGAGGCTAAGGAAGGAGGATGGCAAGTTGGAGGCCAGCCTCAACAACTTAGCAACCTCGCAAGACCCTGTCTCAAAATAAAATGCAAAAAAGGGCTGGGGACGTGGCTCACCCGTCCAGTGTCCCCAAGTTCAATCTCTGGGATATGAACAAGACTTTTGATCTTCCTCGGCACCGGCCTTGAAATCCTGAGTCACACGTTCTTTAACTTAAAATCCTAAACCCAGACCTTAAAGAGCCAGGCTTCTCCAAATTTCCCTCCTGTGGGACGGAGCCACTGCATGACCCAGGTCCCGCACAGAAAGGGTTGGTTTCATCTTCGAATATTTTTTTGCCAAAAGATGGGCGCGGCTCGTCCGATTAAAAAGGCGATGATCGTAAAATGAAATGGGCGCAAGGTTTAAAATGCAATGACTGTCATCTCGGGTTGGAAAACAGGGGACTTTGAAATTGAATCCCACTATGGGATGATACTCAGTTCATTTGAAAACCCATGTTTTCGGAAGCATACGTCTTCGTGTTTGTTTTCAATCACAGGCTGCACCTTGAAAGACTTAAACCCGGGCACCGTGGTGCACGCCTGTCATCCCAGCAGCTCTGGAGGCTGAGGCAGGAGGATTGCAAGTTAGAGGCCAGCCTCTGCAACTTATCGAGGCCCTGAGCAACTCAGGGAGACCCTGTCTCTAAATAAAATGCAAAATAGGGCTGGGGAGGGGGCTCAGGGGTCGAGGGCCCCTGAGTTCAATCCCTGGTACCCAAAAGAAATACACAAAAAGTTGGCGTTGATGTCCCTCTGATGCCCACCCCTTAGGCTGAGAGGAGGAAGATCCCTCCCAAAGTCCATGCTGCTAGACACACAGGGGACACAGACCCAAAGGAGGAGCCCCGTGGAGACGGAGGCAGAGACTGCAGTGAGGGGCCAGCCCAGGGCCACCTGGAGCCCAGGAGCTGGACAGGCAGGAGGAGCCCCCTGGAGCCCTGGAGGGAGCTGGACACCATGGTAAGAGGCAGGTCCTGTCCACAGCTGGACCCCAGCACCTGGGAGTGGGACCTGGTGTGGGAACAGGGTCTCTGCAGAGGTCGTCAGTGTAGGGCCCTGAGATGGGCTCCTCCTGGGTCAGGGGGCCCTCGTGCCATGGCCGTGTCCTCCCCAGAGACAGAGGAGGGGACACAGACTCAGAGGAGGAGCCCCGTGGAGACAGAGGCAGAGACTGCAGTGAGGGGCCACAATCTGTGTCCTTAGGTGCTGCAGTCCAACAGGGGACAGTAACCTGAGCCATGAACACTTTCAAAGCCACATGGACATTGATCCAGGAGGCGGCTAAGGGCTGAAAACCAGTAGAACTTACCGCAGCTCCCAACACCTGATTGGCAGACGCCAATCCAGAGACCCCCGTCCACCCAGGAACGCGGGGACGCGCCGTGTGTCCGCCCCATCGTCCATTCCCACCCCAACTCCAAGACGGGTTTCAAAGCCCAGAGAAATCGGGGCCCCCCTGTGCCTCACTGAGCCGAACGTCACCTGTAATTGCAAAGCCACAAAAGTCCCCAAAATAACTTTTCTCTCCAGCCTCCAATAGAAACTAGATTAAAAATAACCCGAGAGGGACGAGGCCACCCCAGGCAGACGAGTGTCCCAGCGAAGTAGACACGGGGATCGCAGGCTGGATGTGGGGTCCCGCGAGAGACAGCTCTCCATGGAGCCCGGGGACGGGGTGGTGGGAAGACAAAGGCTCAGAGAAGCCGGTAAGAAGGGGACACCCAGAATTTGGCTTTGGCTTTAGTTGTTTCCACCCCCATCAGTGTGATCAAAGGAGCTGACAAGGAGAAGTTGATCTGGGCTCCTGGTGGCCGACTCCATGGCTCTGGCCCAAGGGGAGCAGAACAAGATGGCGGCAGGGCCTGGAGGAGGAGAGCAGCTCAGGACAGGGCACCAGGGAGCAGAGAGAGCTCTGCTCACCAGGGACAGGACAGAGACCCCAAAGGCACAGCCCAGGGACCCCCTCCTCCAGCCACACCCCACCTGCTGCAGTCTCCACTTAGTGAGTCCATCCAAGTGGATTAATCCACTTTTAGTCTACACCTCTCACAACCCAATCATTTCACATCTGAACATTTCACACCTGGTCTCATGCATGAGCTTTAAGGGGACCCCTCGTATCCAAACCATAGCGTCTTTTCTCCCAAAGGTCCTTTAATTCCAGAGGGTTGCAAATAGCATTATGGACACCGTGTTCCAGCGAGGAGGAAGACGGGGTTGGGTGCCCTAACAGCAAGGGACAGGGAGGGCACGGGCGTCAGCTATCAAACCAGCAATTGATAGCTTCATACATTGGGTCTGTAGCTCCACAGGAGCACAGCAGGAAGGACCGCTGACCCTGGTGGATATTACACATTGAACCCCATCTCCCCAAAGTCCTCGGCCGCAGCCCTGGCCCCAGGACCTTGGGACGTGCCTGTGGGTGGAGACAGGTCTTTGCAGAGGGAATGGGGGTGCAGTGAGGTCCCAGGGTGGCCCTGACCCAGCAGGACTGGGGTCCTCGTAGAGGAGGAGATGAGGACACAGACGCACACAGAGGGACGCCCCGGGAGGACACAGGGAGAAGACGGCGGCTGCCAGCCCAGGGGAGAGAGAGGCCTCGGGAGGAGCCCGCCCTGCCCAGCCTGGACCTCGGACCTCCAGCCTCCAGCCTCCGGGACCAAGGGGCAATAAATGTCCTAGGACCCAAGATGGACGAAAGAACCACAGACCGGGCTTATGACTCATATTAACAGCACCCGCGAGTGGAAGAGCCCTCTGTCCGGCCACCAACTGTCCCTCCGGACAAGAACATTCACCCGTGAAGGGAGCGCAGCCTCCCCCGGGCCCTTGGAGGCCATCTAAGCTGCAAAAGCAGCTCCACAGACTTGAATGCAGTTTGCTTTTAAGACATCGGGGTGACCAGCTTTGGGGGGCAGCACCCAGGAGCAGGCTCCAGGCCCCAGGTCAGCAAAGCAGAGTCACTCTTAAAAAATCAACTCGAGGCTCAGCCAAGAGTCTTCAACGGAGTCTGCCAAAAAGTGGTTATTTCTTGGCCTCCGCCCTGCATCCACCTTCCATCTCTCCCCCCAAATAACACCACGGCCTTCTCCCGGGGCGTCTTCTCTGCTCAAAGGTGGTTTTTGATTCCTGCAAAGAGCTCAAAACCCCCAAAGCAGGTCCAGCAGGACATTCCGAGCCTGGTCAAGGAGTGTCCTGCGGTGGGCCGGCTGAATGCTGGCATTGTACACACCCCCAGCGGCCTCGGGGGGCGGGGGACATGTGGTGGCCACTCAGGAGAGCTCCACCGTGATTCTGGGAACAGAGGACCCTTTCTGTGGCTTCCGGGAACAGAGACTCCCAGTCCACCCCGAGAGAGAGACCCTGCAAAGCCCGGAGCTCAGAGAAACAGGATCGAGGTCTCTGGTCAACTGTCCCAATGTCCCCTGCCCAAGCTCAAGGGCAGGGAGACCCGGGGTCGAGCAGGCTGCAATCCCTGCAAGTTGGTCATGGAGCCCAGGCCTGCTGCTGCCTGTTGGGGGAATCATTGGGACAAGAAAAAATAAATAAATCTGTCACCCCAGCAGAGGCTGAGTCAGGAGGATGGTGGATTCAAAGGCAGCCTCAGCCAAAGCGAGGCCCTGAGCAACTCAGGGAGACTCTGTCTCTAAATAAAATGCAAAATAGGGCTGGGGACGGGGCTCAGGGGTTAAGCACCGAGTTCGATCCCTGGTACCCCCCCCCAAAAAAAATTAAATAAAATAAATAAAACTCATGTTCTGACTCTGAACCGGCCTCGTGCGTTATGGGGCGCTCTGGAGCCTCGATTTCTTCCCAACCCTCTCCCACGCAGTGAGACTCTCAGCTTAATATTACTCCTATGAACCCAGCTCTTCTGATCCTGTAGGTGACACTTTCACAGGAGGACAATTGTGACATCTGGAGGCCCCCCTCTGTCAGGCCATAAATCACCCCCTCCCACGGCTGCTGAGTCCCCCACCCCCCAGCTCCGGCCATATCAGAAGCGCTCCTCCCTCGGGCCCCAGAGACCTGGGCGCGGCAGCCAGTTGGGGACTCAGGTTGGGGGCAGTGGTCAGGGTCAACGGGGGGAGGAGGGTCTTCTGGAGCCAGCAGTGGCTACTCACCGGACATGTTGGGAGGCGCGGACGCTGCGGGCTCCCAGAAGAGCCTGAACCCTGACGCAGTGGATGGATCCTCCTGGCTCAGGCCTGCGGAAGGAACCCTGGGTAGCAGCTCCGGCCACAGTCCCCAGACCCCAGGCCCCTGTCACCTGCGCCCACACCTCCCCAGCGCAGGGTCAGCCTCCACCCTCCACCTGGGCTCCCCACCTCCCCAAAGTCACCTGTGGCCCGGGTGGGTGCAGCCCACCCCGCGAACCGCAGCCCCTGTGCGTCCCAGGGCAGCCTCTGAACCCGGTGTGCCCAGGGCCCCACGCGGGTGTCCTCAGTCGCCTACCCGCGCCCCACACCTCCTTCCAGTGCCCGCATCCTCTGCCACCAAGGCGGACCCGCGAACCGGGCTCCTGGTCCTCTCCCGCACCAACCCTGCGCCCTGAGCGCTGCACTCCCCAAGTCCTCCCACCTCGCCGGGCCTCTAGCCTCCCCCGAGCCTCCCACGCAGGGCCTCCCGCTGCGGCGCCCCAGCACCCCCGCCCCGACCCTGAGCGCCATCCATGCTCCCTCTATGTCCCCAGCGCCCGGCTCACCTCCTCCACGGGCGCCTCCCGCTGCCTCCCCAACCAGCCTCCCCTCTGCTGCCCGCAAGATGCCTGAACCCTGCAGCAGCCCTGCCCCTCCCCGGCCGCCCAGGACCCTCGCCGCCTTCACCTCCCGCGGGCTCCTGGCGAGGCCGCGCCGCGCTCCCTCCACCCCTCCCGCGTCCCCTACGCTCCCTGGCGGCCTCCGTCCCCGGCCTCCGCTGCGCCGAGGCCACCTCCACGAACCACGCTCCTCTGCTCCCTCCACAGCTCCTGGGCGCTCACCCCGCAGCCTCCGCCCGGGCCCGCGCCCCCTCCCCAGCCCTCTGCCCTCCCGCGCCCCCAGCTCCCGCCGCCCTCGGCAGCCTCCATCCCAGGCCTCCGCGGCTGCCCGGACTCCACGCCCCGCTCCCCCTGCAGTCCCCGCACCTCCGCGGCCCTCGGGCGGCCTGTGCCCCCGCGCCGCCCCGCAGCCCGCGCGGCACGATTGGCCTGTCGCAGGAAGCCCGGCCCCACCTCCGCGCCGCCACTCGTCTCGCCCAGCGGTGTCGCAGCCCCGGCCAGAGAGCCCTCGCGCCGCCTGTCGCCCAGCCTGGGCTGGCTGCCAAGAGACAGAAGAGGGGACCTGGCTGCGCTCCACTCCCGAGTGCCACCTCCCCTCCCCCGGGGGCCGCTCCCCGCCGCCGCAGCAGCCAGCGGTTCCTGGCTCCCGGGTTTGGACATTTAACCTTTACTCAGCCAACCCCTAAGCAAATGTTTGCTGTGGCTTCCCCGGCGCGGGCCCCAGGCCAGCGGGCGGCTCGGCGGAGGCCAGGCTGGGAGGCCCCCTGCCCGGGAGGCGGGATTCCAGTCCCCATCTGATTGAATGCGCGCGGGAGAGAAGGGGAATA